GCAGGCGGAGCCAGCGCGCCAGGGGAGGGGCGAGGTCTCCTTTCTGTACTTACTACAAACCTACTGTTCACTTTCTCCAGGATCTGCTTCTCATTCAGCGCCATGGCCTCCCCCTTCCGCTTCTTAATCCGCTTCTTTTCCAGCTTCTTGCAGGCGTACATCTTGCCAGTTGCCCGCACCTGGCAGGCACATACCTGGGGTCCGGGTGGACGGGGCAAGTGGGGCCAGCTGCGCCCTTGCTGGGGGTCTAGGGCCTGCCCTGCCCCACCCTGTGCCCTGTGCCCGCCGGCCCGGTCACTCACCTCGCCAAAGCCGCCTTTCCCCAGGACTCGGTACTGCCTGAAGGTGTTTTTGGTCACTGGCTGCCTGTGGACAAGGGGCGAGCAGAACTGGCTGAGCAGGCGGGTGGCCACGAAGAGCCCCTGGCCCGTCCACGGGGCCCAGCCTTTGAGGTGCTCACCTTTCCAGCCACTTCCACTGCAGGAAGCGGTTGAAGTAGATGCTATCGAGGTAGTCGGCAAAAGGGGCCACGCTCAGGTACTCGTGGGTCAGCCTGGAGGGAGGAAGGCCCGGCTCAGCCCAGAAGGCCCCGTCTTCGCGGACCGCCTGCCGGCCCGCCGCAGGGGCTGAGGACGCTGCCCAGCGGGAGCAGGCCAGGACTTGAAGCGGCACTCCCTCGGCGGCCACCGAGCTGCTCTCAGCCCTCCCGGCCCAGAGGCCCCTCCCCTGGGCGCAGCTCCAGGCGCGTGGGCAGGGAGGCTCACCGGGTGAGTTCCTGGAAGAGGTCTTTGCACGGCCCCTGCTCCAGCCGCTGGGCACAGTTGGTCACCAGCTGCCGGGGGACCTCAGGGATGAGGTCGGGACCCTGGGGATGGGCCACACGCAGGTCAGCGTGGGGCTCCCTCAACGGCTGCCCACTCCCAGAGGGCAGCTTCCAGCTGTCTCAGGCTGGAGCCGGGGATGCACCAGCCTGCCTGGCTGGTGGCTGGGCGCCCGTCTTGCTGCCCCCCTGAGGCAGAGTGAGGCGGAGCGGCTGGCCGGCTGCCCCGGGCCGCCCAGCCCACCCCCTGGGCGGCAGGCCGGTGGTGCTGCCCGGAGCAGTTCCAGGGCCCTCTCGGCCTGGCTGTGGTCACTCTCCTCCCTGCCTCTGAGCCTGCCTGTCTGCCATCTCTCCCACCGCTGCTCGCTCACCGTGTGGCTCAGAAAATTCTGCATTAGCCGCCGCCCACATGCCTTCCGCTTCTCATCGGGGGTCACTTCGTACTCGGCCTGTGGGGTGGGAGGCAGTGAAGCTCGGGCTCTGGGCAGAGAACGCAACAGGTGTGGGGAGCCAGGCCTGCTGCCCGCCCAGGGGCTTGGCCGGGCCAGACTTACCACCCCGTCCAGAAAGGCGACGCAGCGGGTCAGCTCAGGCCTCGTGGCGCAGAACTCGCGGAACAGCAGGCGCCCGATGGGCTGCCGTTCGCACAGGCTGTGGTAGTCACGCTCTGCGGGCAGAGACCAGAGCTGCCGGGCTCCCACCCACACCACCAGGCCCGGGCCTCAGTGACGGTCTCCAGCCCTGCAGCACGGCTGCCCTGATCCCTTGAGAGGCCTCACCACGCCCTGAGGTGGGCACTGCTGCTATTCCTGACAGAGTCTGGGACAGCGAGGCCCACAGGGGTCCACTGACTAGTCAGTGCCACACAGCCAGGAGCCGCTGCAGAGTCCAGGCCCCTTTCTCCCCCCCACCAGTTGTCTGCTGGTTCACAGCACTTGGATACGTCACGGTGCTGGGGTTGGGTGCGGTCTCTGAGGTTCCGGCCCAGCCCGGCTGGGGCCAGGCCCACACCTGCCGCCTGCCTGGCGAAAGTACGAGAGGAAGCTGTGGCTTCCGGCACACTCGGCCAGGCCTCGCTTACAGCTGTGGCAGCAGCTATGTCTCCTCTGCTCACGTGCAGGCCATCCCAGCAGGCCTGGGCAGAGATAAGCAGGAACTGGGTCTTGGCCCTCCTGTACCCCCAGAAGCAACCCTGTCACGCTGCCCAGGCTAGGGCTCTGGTCCAGGCTTCGCTGGGCCCCCCTCAGGGCTGAGCTGGGAGCTGCGCACGGGCCTGGGGCTCCCCGGCCCAGTGCCAGCCACGCCCTCTGTCCCGTCGCCCCGCTCGGTGCCCCACACCCAGTGCAGCCACTGGGAGTCAGACCCATTTGCTCTCTGCCCTCCACCCATCCCAAGCCCCGGAACTGAAACTGGGCTGGGCAGTGCAGCCTCCGTCTTCCTGCTCGCTGGACCCCCCAGCTTCTCCTGCACCCCAGGGCAGGGTCTCAGGGGAGGCTCCCCGCCCCAGCGCCCCGGCCTCCACCCAGGCCTCACCGAGGCTGAGCCGCAGCTCTTCACACTGGCTGATGTGGGGGAACTGCAGCATCTGCCGCCATTTCTTGCTTTTGCCTTTGCGATTCCCGCCACCACCTGTGGGGAGCAATCAGGCGCTGGGGCCAGGTCCTCTGTCTGTGCTCCCGGGGCCCTCGGTGTGGTCCAGAGGCCTTTAGGACGGAGGCACAGCCCGCCCTGGGAGCACCCTCCCTCCACACGCCCCAGCATGCCCTCACCCCATTCCGAGAAGCACCTGGTCCGCCCTCCCGCTGCTGGCTCCCGGCTGGGAGAGCCAAGAAGGCAGGGAGGCTGCTGGGGAGGAGGGGTTCCAAGTAGCTTGGGCAAGGGGCCCAGCCGCAGCTGGTGAGTGTCCCCAGGTAAGGAAAGTGGGGACGGGCAGCACAGTAGTGGGCACTGCATAAGCCAGGGCCCTGAAGAATGGGATTCCAGAGCACGTGGGGCCTGCCGCAGGGATGCCAGGGCAGAGGGAGGCCTGCGCTCCCGGGAGGCTCCCAGATCTCCATCACTGGGCCCTCAAGCAAAGTGGAAGCAGGAGGGTTGGCACTCAGGATCCTCCCTCCCCGGCACACAAGGGGCTTCCCTGGCCCTGATGCCTGCCTTGTTTTACCTCACTGACGGCCATCTGTAGCTGCTGAGATCACAGTAGCAGCTCGAGTGCCTACAGAGCTCAGCAGGTATGGCAAATGTGAGCCAGATGTGAGACAAGAGGGAGTGGTGGAGAGTGTGGTGAACGGGACCGGTGAATGCTTCTCTAATGGGGCAGCTGCAACACGGCTCCAGCTGGCTGCACGGTCATTGCCAGGCAGGTTTCTGGCTCTGCGTGGCCAGCTCTTGATACTTTTCAAAAGCAGCTGGAAATCCAGACTGTTACAAGAAATAGTGGTTCCTATTTTATTTATTTATTTATTTATTTATTTGAGTTGGACTCTCACTCCGTCACCCAGCCTGGAGTGCAGTAGCACGCTCAGGGCCACCCCAGTGTCAAACTGCTGGGCTCCGGCGATCCTTCTGCCTCAGTTTTCCAAGTAGCCAGAACTACAGGTGCGCGCCCGGCTAATTGTTTATATTTTTATTTTTTGTAGAGACAAGGTCTCGCCAAGTTGCCCGGGCTGGTCTCGAACCCGCAGGCTCTGGCAATCCCCTCGCCTCGGCCTCCAAAAATGCTGGGATGACACGCTGAGCCTGGCCCCTATTTTATTTTAAAATTAAAAATGAAAAAAAACCTAGCCAGGCTCGTTGGCTCAGCCTGTAATCCCGCTGAGGTGAGTGGATTGCCTGAGCCTGCGGGTTCGAGACCCGCCTGGGCAACTTGGTGAGACCTC